TGACTGCCCTCACCCCCCCCCCCTAGGCTGGCTACACTCCCCCTGGCTCAGAGTTACCGTAGCTTTTTGGGAGTCACCGCACCATGATGCCCCCCTAACTGGAATAGACCCCAATACTTGACTTTTTTTGTTTTTAAGAAGTGTGATGTAAGTTCCCAAAGAAGCTGTTGTATCCGTTCAAATGCTCGACCGATTGCTGATACTCATCCATGTATTTCGCGATCTTCTTCTAGCGCTGGCAAGTATACCTTGCGTTATTGGTAGGTTATTAATTGTCGGTATACGTGCATACCTATAACAAATATTTCTCTATTTTTTTATTTGTTCTCAAATCTCAAATCACATTGTCTTTCTATTCCTTTATTTAGGATGACGTTTGCACTGAAGAATTTCTTATGCTTTGTGCAAACCAGTTAGTTGAAGTTATTTCGAGTGATGAGCTCCATGTGCAATCAGAAAAGCAGGTACTGTTCTTTGTTACTATTATCAAGTTCCGGATTCAAATCATGAATACTGTGCTTTGCACGTATTTGCGGCTGTTATTTACATGGTTCCTGTTACTATTATGAGGTTCCCGCTTCCGATCATGGATATTGTGCTTCGCACGTTTTTGCAGCTGTTATGCATTGGGTTAGGTTCGACCTGTCTGCTCGAAAACAATCTCTTTGGAGGTTTTAAATACACGACTCCATTAACTTAGGACTGTACAGACATCTTTCCCCTGATTGGAGGTTGTACATGGTTCCGTTAGCGATATAATTTTTTCAGGCGAATTGGAGGTGTGGCCATTATCCAAAGGTCTAATCAATTTCCGCTGCAACAACGGAGATACGATCCAGCATCATCAACATCTTACTCGCGAACTCACTCCCCTACTGGGACAACGTTTGCCATAAAAGGATTGTATGTTGTAAATTTTTCGCAACGATTACGGAATGGGGTTTTTCTGCATGTTTCACAGTGTAAGTGTAAGAGTGATGGTACATTTTATTGCAATAAAACAATGTTCTAGTTTGGAACTTGCAATGACACTCAGGAAAAAGGTTCGGATTAGAAAGGAGAGGTTTTAGAGGGTACTGGAGAGTTGCGCATTGATAAACAAGTAGTAAGACAAACAACGCTGATATATCTACAGCTGTTAGAAACCTATACAGTGGTAGAAACAACTACATGACTTATAACTGAAAGGCAAGGATTTTTGCTGTTCACGCGAACAGTCGAGGAAATCAGAAAATTCAGAGATAACAACAGTCCATCATCATGACAAACAGCAAAATCAAACATCACAGCTATGAGATTATCTTAACGGAACAAGAAACGAAGGAAACGACAAACCCTAAAAATTGTTCTGTAGCGATAAACTTTCACATAAAATGATATATCATGTTAAACAACCAGAAGAGTTACCCGCAATAAACAATAACTTTGACGAGGTGCAACACACTTGACAACATGGGCACATGTTTCACTTGAACCGCAGTCCCTTTGAATGTTCCAACCTGTGCCACTCCTATTGCGCAATTCAAACTCCTGCAGGGCTGAGTACATGAATAGCAGTTGCAAAATACCTGGATACCCCCACATTACAGCTTCGAAGTTTTGAGAGGAGGGAGCCTTCTATATCTCTATAGATAAGGCAGAAGTTTGGTGTGTGTTGTCTGTTTGTAACCGCTAGGCTCGCATGCTACGTATATCCAAGAAAACAGTTAGGGTATGGTCCCGGATGGGTAGGAAGTTGCCCCTAGAGCAACTTCCTAGCACTGTATGATGAAGGCAAGGTTTGGTTAGAAAAGGTACGGTAGTGGGCGCGAGCTCGGCTACAGGTGGGCGGGACTTACGCGAAAATCTCCGCAGAAAATATAGTTTTTTGTGCAGAGGCCACTAATTGCTAAGTGGATCACAATATCGATTGAGTAGGGTCGTATTAGTCGGATTTTAGATGGGCTCACAGGTTATCGATCGTTATCGATTGAAAATATCGGTTTTTGTGCAGAGTGCTCGAATAAGTTCGAAAATCACACTATTGATTGGGGCCTGTACTGATAATGGAAATTTTATCGGTTCACATGCTATCGATCGATATCGACTGAAAATATCGATTTTTGTCTGGGAAGCTCAGATTTGCTTACTAACCACACTATAGATTGATAGGGTCGAAACAATCGTAACTGCATTGAGTCACGCGGTATCAATCAATGTTGATCATAAATATCGGCTTTTATCATGTATGCTCGGAAAGGTCTCTAAGAAGCTAATTTTGAGGTTTTGTGGCAAACTTCGCCCACTTTGATAATTTCACACCTCCCCCCCCCCCGCTCGCTCACCCTTGAACTTCCCTCCTTTTCTAACCTCTGCCACTTTTTTCTCGGTTTCTGGGACTTCTTTGAACCGACTTATTACGAGTTTGCGAAACGCTACCCACTTAAGGACACGATCCGCTTACTGTGGGCGGGTTTCCACTAAGTTTCAAGTATGTTTAGGACACCCTAAATATTGTTTTCTTAAACCGATTTTACTACAGCTCAATAGGCTTTCACATACCAGAGTTATGAGTTTTTCTTACTGAGAAACACTCCTGCAGAGAACGCTCCCCGCAAAGGGCGGGTAACCCAGATTCGACTTTTCTCTCAGTGCACACCTTGAAACTTTTTTTCCGGTCTTTTGGCTGCACCTATACCCATACTCGAGACTTCTGCCGTCGGCAACTCCTAATTCAACGCATGCCCCGCCCACTGTGGGCGGAGTTTCCCATGGTCCATGTCTGCCCCGTGTAGCCTGACTCATTCTCTACCCATCCCAAATTTGACCTGGACTCTGAAGGTGGTTCCTTAGATAGTAGCTAATTTTTCAAACAGACACACAGAAGGCTCAGTACAATCATCTCTATATATATAAGGCAGAAGTTTGGTGTGTTTGTGTGTCTGTCGCCGCTAGGGGGGTATATGTCCCGGTTGAAACGGGAACTTCTCTACTTCCCTCATTCAGTCCTTCACCCTAAAATACATAGGAACAACTCCGTTCCCTTCCCGTACTTTTACCCTTCACCAAACCCAAATGCGGCCCCTCCCAAACAACCCAAATGCCACTCTCCTAATTGAGAACTGCGAAACGTACGTTAACCCTGTCACGAGAGTCCATCCTGTTCAGTTGTGTTTCGCGCGCGGTATCGTGCGCAGCTAAACTGGTAATGTCAAATTTTGCAAAATTCACCTGGCACATGATAGCTGCAGCGGCGCCTCTCCTGTGCCGAAATGACCTCTTGACCAGGAAGCTAAACGAAATGGTCGCGACCTAATATCAGCATGCCATGGGATAGTTCAACCGTAGCACTATAACCAACCTCTGACAAGTTGCGAAGTTTGAACGGGCGATTTCCTGCAAGTACCTTGACGCCGGAAAGGGAAGACGCATCGTAGAAAGTGTCGTCCGATCGGCTCATGACTGTTCCAACGTTAGAGTTCTAGAAAGGACAGAAAAACCACTAAGCAGCAAAGACCAAGAACAGTATCTGAATTGTCTGCACCTTATTTTTTATGTTGTTTATGTATGTTTTTATGTTTTTATCATCAGGCGCAATGTGGCTCGGGGGGGGGGCACTCTGAGAAAAGTCATCTAGGACTAAGCCTAAACAGCAGGGAGAATACGAAAATTGCTTCCGTACACCGGAGTTCCTCTCCTCTTCAAAAGCTTAGTCCTAAAACGGAGCGTTTCCGTGATTTTGACGCGATGTTGCGAGCGAGGAGCCACATTGCGCCAGCCAATATATACAGCTCCATGCACGCTGATTTTCATCTTCAAGTGTCGGCTTCATATCAATCGCAATATTACAAGAAAGAAGGCTGAATGCGTTGAGCGCGCTAATTGGACAACCAAAAAGGAAGAACTTAAAAGACGAGTTCTAACCCCAGACCACATCGTGGCACCTGACGCCCTTACCTTGATGACAGCACACGTCACTACATTCCCACGACAAAACGAAACAAAACACTCGTTAGTTTCACCTTTGGCAGTCGAAGAGGCTTCAGTTTGAGCCACAAAGAAACCATGATCACGAGAAAACTTGTATTCCATCCCACCAAAAATCTTTACCTGAAAGAATCACTGAAATCTATGATCTGAATCGTTACTAACTTGACAAGCCTTCTCTATGTCTCTTGGGAATCATCCTGCTTTGCGAAAAGGAGCACCAGATGATACATCTTCTACAGCTTGCGTATTACACGCCTCGAAGATCACAGGGCCAACCTAGAACAGGTAGTTAGATTAATGGCATCCCCTAAGCTAAAAATATCGCACCTCAAGTTACACATTGACTGGATAGCGGTATTCTCCACCCAACTTCAAATTCGGCTTATCACGGAGACCATGAGAGTGCCTGTAATGAAGGATTTAGCGACTGCGCAATGCAGCGCAACAAGTGCAAAGTCGTGCATACGTGTAGTCGTTATTGAGACCTATGCATGTAAGCGTCCACGACGGGAAAAGAGGTGACAATGGTGGTGAGAGCGAGTGTGGCACACGTTCAAAGAATGGATCCTTGAAAACAGAGAGAATAATGCATAGAAGGGTGTCGTGACAGCATCTAGAGAGCATGAAATAGAAGGTAGTGGGAAGCCATCAAAAAGCTTTTACTACACACCGGCTTAGTCCTTAGTTTCATCAGTCGGGTTTCCAAAGCAATAGCAGCCTCGTCCAAGTTCGTATGAGGATTCTTCACAAACGAAACTGTAACGACGTTCATTTGAGAGATAAGTACGCTGGCATGCATAGAGATACGAAATGCTAAAAATGCATTCTATTTCAACAAAAAGGGGTGCTAACTTAGTTGGGGGGGGGGGCACGCGGCGGCGCGGCAGTCTGCTCACCTGGGCTCTCTCGAGCGAGACAGTGTAAACTCGAACATTCCAGCTTTTCACGCATGTCAAGTGACTGCCCCCACCCCCCCCTAGGCTGGCTACACTCCCCCTGGCCCACGGATTTCCGAACA